CATCATTCCTGGGCGCAAAAGTAACTGCTTCTTCCTCAGAGCATCCATCTCCTTCTTCAGAAAGAGGGATCAATTTTTTTTTAAGCTATGAGCATACAGTTAGTAATCTCTTCCACATCATAACTTTCTCCATTGCAGTTTTGATATATTGAGTGTCAGCATAAGAAGTTAAATGGAATTTTTTTGGGAAGTTTTGGGGAAGCCACAGATGACTGAAAAAGTCTAGAAACTCAGAAATACATAAAACATATGTATAGTGTTATATCGACCCAAATGTTACAATAAAGTACTGTGAATACCCCTTAAAAGAAAAATAAAAAATTTAGACTTCTTCTCTGGTAAGAAAGGAGGGCCAAAAAATTTTACATGGATTTTTCAGATCAAGGGACTGCCATGCCCCTAGCTCCCAAGCTGTGGAAGGGATAACAGTACATGCATTCTTTTCCTTTCCTTCCTCCTCTGTGTATATTCTACTCTAGCCTCATGTCTACCACTTCAGATTTTTTTTCCCCTCCATGAAAACCTTGCTACCATTTGAGAACACTTTATTGTCCCTGATAACATGGATTCTGGAGAGGTGTTCCTTGAGCCCCTTTATCTTCTCTAGAAGAGAAAGACTGTCTTATACTTGGAACATGGACAGAAATCAGTTACTTGTGACATTATAGAATTATGGATTATACAGACATTCCACTCTCTTTGCAGATCGTGGCAGAGTTTCTTGTGCTCTCTGTACTGAGATTCTTGAACCCAGTGACTCTCTTAGGTCCTTATTACTTGGCATCATGCGTGACCTATTGAACTTTGGTCTCATTTTTGAGTCTGAGAGACTACTGAAGGGGAGGATGAATTATCTTTTAATGGTGAATAGTGCTTAGTTTTTCTCTCCCTAAAAAAAAAAAAGAAAGAAAGAAACAACAGTGGGGGTTATTGCAGATGTTTGTGTGCATTGAAATGCTTGTAAAACTTTCTACTGCTCAGCAGATTGTACATCAGTCTGTGGGAAGTTTAGGGATTTTTTTTTTTTTGGTGGGACTTTGGTAGGGATTTTTCTCTTTGCTCCTTAAAAAAAAATTACAGTACATTAGAAATCACCAGCTTGAGACTGCTGTGGCACCATTTTGGAGACACAGGATTTGGGGCCAACTTATGGCTTGTAGGCTTAATTATTACTGTGAGGTTGGCCAGATCACCTCTCTGTGGGCCTCAGTTTCCTCATCTGTGAAATGACATTGAATTAGCTCATTTCTTAATGTTTCTTCTAGCCCTAAATCACATGAGAATATACTTTATTATAATAGCATGAGAAAGTCTTAGTGAGCAGATACTCAGGTTTACTCTCTTAGATTTCCCCACAGTTTCATTCACTCTTCTGGATTGTGGTTTTGCATCTAAAAAATGATGGGTCTCTGGGCAGCTAGGTGGTGCAGTGGATAGAGCATCATCCCTGAAATCAGGAGGACCCGAGTTCAAATCCGGCCTCAGACCAAACACTTGACACTTACTAGCTGGGTAACCCTGGGCAAGTCACTTCACCCCAATTGCCTTTAAAAAAAAAAATGATGGGTCCCTTCCTGAGGGCTGCTAGCAAGTCCACTGAGGGAACTGACCAGTAAAAAGCTCTGTGATTCTGAAGTTAGAGATTTTGTGCCGGGCAGTTCTGTGGTTGAGACAACTGGAGCAGAACCCAGCCAGCTGACTTCCTCTAGTTCCCTTTTCTCCATTGGCTGGTGTTTATAATGTACTTGGAGGGAGTTGCTCCAGGTTAATGGGCTGATAATAATAACGATAGCTGACATTTCTGCAGCCCTTTAAAGTTGTAGAAAACTCTGGTGTTTGATCTCATTTGATCCCGGGTAGCTCTTTGAGGTAGATACTACAGGTATGATTCCCCAGAGATTTCAAGTGACCTGCCAGTGGTCCCACAGCTAGTAAGTGTCAAGAAGCAAGATTCAAATCCAGATCTTCCTGACTTTACACAGAGGCACTGACGATACTGCATTGCTTGTGATTGTGTTGTATTACACACATGTATGAGTTACTCACTGTATTAGATATATGTCTCAAGGTAATGCTGTAATGAGAGAAACGTGGGCCTAGGAGGCAGGAGTCCCAAATTCTGGTCACAGAGTGACCTCACTGGCTGCTGATCAAATCCTTACCCCAGAAGAGTCCTCTCTAAAGCATATTGCAGTGGCCATCTACCCTTTCTTTTTATTTGTCTAATTTTCATTTTTTTCAGTGAACAAAAATCTTATTTTCTCTCCTTCCTGTTTCCCGTCCAGTTCCGCTCATTGGCAAAAAAAAAAAAAAAGAAAAAGAAAAAAGAAAATCCTTATAATAAATATGAATAGTCGAGCAAAACAGATTCTTCACTTTGATGATATCCAAAAAATATACATTTCCATCTGCACCCTGAGTCCTTCACCCCTGGGATCATGGTGGGTCATTGCACTGATAAGAGTGCTGAAGTCTTTCCAAGTTGTTCCTCTTTACAATACTGTTGTTACATAAACTGTTCCCTTGGTCCTGCTCAGTTCACTCTGCCAAAATCCATACAGTTCTTCCCATACCTGCGAGACAGATAGCACATCTTTCCTAAGTTTCTGCATCTCCAGGCTAAATGCTTTTTGGGGTATTTCTTTAACCAAGCTTGTCACTCCATGAACTCAAGGCCCGTCACCATCCGGGTTGCCCCCCTCAGGATGTGCTCTAACTTATCAATGACCTCTATTGCAGGTGTGGTCTGACCAGGGTAAAGCGCCAAGTCCTGGATACTGTTGTGCCTGATATTACATTAATGCTCTTAGTCACCTAGTAAGAATGCCATAGATGTGGTGTTTTAAGACTGACTACCTTCAGAGGCAGTTAGTGGCACCAGAGTGCACAGAGCTCAGGGGCCTGGAGTCAGGAAGACTTGAATTCATATTTGGCCTTCTGTACTCACTATCTTATGACCCTGGGCAAATCACTTTACTTCTGTCTGTCTCAGTTTGCTCAGCAGTAAAATGGAGATGATGCTAATAATAACACCTACCTCCCAGGGCTCTTGGAGGATCAAATGAAATGATGTTTGTAAAGCCTAGTACCCAGCGCATAGTAGGTACTTAGTAAATGACTTGTTTCCTTTTACATCTTATCTCATTTGCTCTTGTTTGTGTTAACCTTTGCAGCCTCAGATCCTTTAAAAACAAACTGCTCTCACCCAGCTGCCCCCACCCCTTGGGAAGTTTATTTTTGAATCCAAATGTAAGATTTAGCATTGTTTCTTATTTATTATCATCTTAATTTGACTCTGGGTAGTCCTGTAGCTTGTTGAGTTCCTTTGGGAGCCTTATTCTTAACAATTGTGGCCTCTGTCCCTACCAGGTGTGACCCGTTGCCTCCTCTTACAGACTGTAGGATCTCCATGAGGGGATCTTTGACTCCTATAACTAGTTAAGGGGGATGTGACTCCGTATTGCTCCTTCATACCTCTCTACTCTCCCTCCTACACATCTCTCCTTCCCCCTGCCCCTAGGTAAATTGAAGCTTGTGGGGAAGGAGTGGGAGGGAAGGCTGGAAGCAGAGCACTGAGAACTTGTCTGGAATGTCCGGGTTGGAATGGTCCCCTTTCCCTTCCCCCCAGTTACTTAAGGTAAGCTAACAAAGGTCCGTGGAAGCTCACGGGTGCTACGGGGCACTTGGGTCAAGTGGGCACTTAGCTCCAGAGTTAAAACTACGGAGGAGAGGGGAGAGAGTAAGGAGCAGTCAGTCTTCAAGCATTTCTTTAGCACTTACCGTGTGCGAAGTGCTAGGAATACAAGTATAAGCAAAAAGAGTCTCTGCCTTCAGGGAGCTTACATTCTAATGGAGAAAGACTGTACAGAAAAGAAGCAAAAAGGCGGTGCAGTAGAAGGTATCCAGTGGGAAGTAGGTAGACCAGTTAGTAACCAGTTCACATACACGTCTTCCCTAGGAGTTGTGACTTCTTTTTCTTTTCGGTAAATACTTTTATTTATTTTTACATGCATTTATAATCTGCTCCTCCCATGATCTTGACTTCCATTGGACAACAAAAGCCTCCTCATAAGCATGCATAGCCCAGCAAAACAAATTTCTGTATTAGCCATATCCGAAAACGCATGTCACGTGAACTTCTTCACCTGTCCTGCAAGAGGGAGGCGAGTGGAGGAGCTCTTCAGACTTCCGGACTTGCCATTTATCATTTCGCTGACAGAGGTCTAAATTACTGTTCTCTGTAACGTTGATATCATCTCTATAAATTGTTCTCCAAGTTCTCTTCATTGTCCTCAGCATCAGTTCATCGGAGTTTTTGAGTTTCCTCTCATTTTCTGTGGCACAGTACCATTATGTTACATCCACATTGCCATAATTTAAATTTCCCAAGAGAAAACCTTGATTTACCGATTTGGGGCCATTATGGAAAAAAAACTGCTAAAAAGACTTGTGGACACCTGGGTCCTTTTCTTCTTTCTTTGCTGTCTTGGGGGTAGGGGCACAGGGCTATCGGTATAGTAGTGGTATTTTCCTCGGAGTTATGCCTCTAAATTGCCTGGTCATTGCTAGGAAGATGGTCTCGAGCTGTTTTCTCAAGGCCTTTGTGGTAGTTTTGCCACATTTGGCCCAGGGCGTTGCTTCTCTTCATGTGTCCTCTTGGAAAAGGATGTGGTGTTGTGGAAGGCTGGCCCAGGAGTCAGGGAGACCCATGTCCCAGCCACCTTTTTGCCACTGATTCAATGTGGGACCTCAGGTAAGTTTCCTCCCTTCTACCTAGGCCTCATTCCCTCTCCACTTTACAGTGAAGAGCTCGATCCTAATGAACTCTTAACCTCCCTTCTGTTTCTGACCGTGATTCAAAAGTGATTTCCCTTTCGATTTGAGATTTGAGACTCCACAGGAGAGGAAAGGGTGGTGGGGGGAGGGTGTGCGTGTTAGTTCACTGACTGACACAACTGCCCACTTGTGACACTGCCATGTTTGGGTGGATTCCCCTCCAGGTGAGGCAGTCCCAGCTCACTGCTGCATCCTCTCAGCCTGCAGCCCCTTCTTCACTGAGCGCCTCCAACGGGAACGGCCGGCCCAGGGCCAAAAGGTGGTGTTAGAGCTGGGGGGCCTGAAGATTGGGACTCTTCGAAAGCTAGTGGATTTCCTCTACACTTCGGAGATGGAAGTCTCCAGGGAAGAAGCCCAGGATGTACTGTTAGCTGCCCGCCAGCTTCGAGTCTCAGAGCTGGAGTCACTGCAGCTAGAAGGTGGAAAGCTGGTTCGGGCAGCACAGGGCAGACGATTAAATCGGGAATGCTTACAGCCCCCAATCTCTGCCCGGGTGGTTGGACTCAGCCGCCCCCGAACTCCCCTGCCCCCTCCCCAGGCCGCCTGTTCCCCTGGGGCTGGGAAGCTGCAGCTCTCGGGAGAAGAGGAGGATCCCCAGGAGGAAAGCAGAGGAGGAAACACAGAGAGCTTATCAGAGATGTCGAGCTCCTTTCCAGTCAAGGGGAAAACCAGGGTCTGCCCTCCCACACGAGCAGAAAGCTCTTCACCTAGGAACCAGGGTCAAGGGCCCAAGGAGAACAGGAGGGTGCCAGGCCCTGCAGCTGCTGAGCTTTTCCCACCCAGCCCCACTGTGGAGGAACCTCTGTTGCCCAGGAAGATTAGGCTAAGCCGCTCAAAACTCTCCCCTGATGTTTGTCCAGCTAAGTCCCTCAGTGCTGTAACAGGGCCCGGTTCGGCACCCACCCCACCCAGTCGCCGTCTCTGGAGGCAGAAGACTTTGAGCAAGGAGGTCACAGAAGAGGAGCAGGGACCAGGAAAAGCCAGCCTTCTGGAGGGGACCTCCAGTCCTTCCCTTCCACCCAAGATGGGTGGGAATAAGAAGCGGAGCCCTGAGGCTAGGGCACCTAGCTCAGACTCTGCAGAGGAAGGACAGGTTGGAAGGGTCAAGCTTCGGAAGATTGTTAATGGGAGCTGCTGGGAGGTGGTCCAGGAATCTCCTTCCAGGGATTCTGAAGACAGCCAACAGACCCCAGGGCCAGGGGGAGAATCTGGAGAGGAGACTCGGGCGCCTGGGATGGTCCTCATGGAAGAAGAGGAGAAACCATCTGTTGAAATCAGTTTGTGCCCGTTGGATCCCCCACCTTGTTCCAGGCTCCAGGAGACGCTGATGCCTGCCAGTCAGTTTCCAGACCAGGCAGTGGTGAAGTCAGAATTTCCAGACATCCCCGATATGGTGGGGAAAGAAGCTCTGTTGGGTGGAGACTGCAGGGAGCCCTATGAGTTTGTTCCCGCTTTGTTGGGTCAGCCTTGTGAGGCAGAGGAATACCGAATCACCAGCGCTGCCGCGACCAGTGAGCTAGAGGAAATCTTGGACTTCATGCTCTGTGATTCAGACATTGGCCCTTCAGTAGATTCCCTGGAGAGTCCCAGGGCTGGAAACTCAAGGACCCCCACCTATTCCCTGAGTGAGCCTGAAAAGAACTGGGTAGAAGGAGAAGAGTGGTGTTTACCAGATGTGGAGCTGTGGCCAAGAGAATTTGCTGAATTAGAGGAGGATTCGGTTAAAGTCAGAGAGGATAAGGGATCCGTGGAGCCTTTTAGCCCCCTTGTAGCCTCTAATGTGAGTGAAGGGGAAGAACTAGCAGTGCCCACCACGTGGACTTCAGAGCCTGGATCTACCAGCCCCCAACCAGATGGGCAGGGAGAGAAATTGCTCTGCACAGGGTCCCCTGTCCATTTTCATGCGCCTTATGGAGACTTGTCACCTCCTTGCTCCAGCTGGGTGGACACTAGTTTTGGGAACCCCTCCGTCACTGATGATACACTCTACCCCGAAGGAGACCCAGTAGTGGCATGTCCAGAGATCAAGGAGGAGGAGCTTGATAACTCAGAGAAGCTGAGATTGTCCCCTGGTAGCCTAGAGGAAGAAGGGGAGATTGATGTAGTGGACTGGACAGCACAGGTTGGGCAGGTGCCTTTCCATGGCCTCTCTGTGTGGCCTGACCCCTCCTCGGAATCAGAAACGGAGGTGGACGTCTTGACGTAGTTGGGCTATCTCAGCTGGGTGGAAATTTCTCGCTGAGGCTAGCAAGAGCTCCAATGGCAGTAGAGGTAGCATGAAACTGAGCATGTGAATGAGGCAGGGACACTCCACTCCACCAGGGGCTCCTCTTTAAAGGGACCCACTCATTGCCCACCTACCTTTTGCTCTGGGAATCAGGTACAGGACGAGGAATACGCTAGCCTGGGTAGGAAGTGAGTGCTGGCTCATAGCCATTTACTAAGATGCATTTCCATCCGTATTGAAGGGGGGAGGGGGGAAAGTATTCTAAGTTACTTGGTGACAGCCCATTTTGCCTTACTTTGGGATAAAGAGGGGAACCCACAGCATGTACTATGCTCATCATTTTTCACAGAGCTAGAGTACAGGCCTCCTACCAGTGGCCTTCATCATGAAACATGAGCTCGGTAGGGATCCCTTAGTAACAGCTAATCCAGAAAAGTGAGCTGGAGGGGTGGGCGGGCAGCTTAACCCAGATTCTACAAGTTGGGAGGCATAGGAAACATCTTTCAGAGCAAAAAAGCCTACAGTCAGTCTGGCAGAGCAGAAGGAGGGGGGGGAGGGGGATGGAACTATGGAAATGGCCCTAACCAGGATCTTTCTAGTCCTTCTTCATTGACATTCTCAGGTCTTCACCCTCTGGTTGTCCAGATCGCTCCCTGCAAACCCAGCGGGAGGCCATTTCTTCACTTCCAGGAAGTGTGTTTAGGGGAGATGCACTTAACTTGCAATAAACAACTTTAAATCCTCCCTGTGACTGATGTGTATCTCTCAGACTTCAGCAGGTTATGTTCCAGACTCTTTAGGCTGTGCCACGAGAGGGAAGGAAAATATTTGCCATCCATGGATTTGAGCTACCGGGAACCACCCTTAGAAATAAATGTTGCACTACACCAACCTGAAACGTTCTGTATCAAAAAACTTTTATTAACAATTCAACATCACCAGGTACACCATGCACCCACTGCCATTCCCAGAAGAAGGAACTAGAGCTTCAGGGTCACGACTGGGAGATTTGGTCATGTTCCATCATGGATGCTCCAAACTCACTGGGGACAGACAGCTGCAACAGAGGGAAAACCAGTTAGGGGTCCAACTTTTGGGGAGGGAGTAAATCACAAGCCGTCTGGGCCAGTTCTCCCTGGTACGGGGAGCTCAGTCCTTGCAAAGCTGGACCTGCCAGCAAGCCAAGGAAAGCAGAAAGTAAACACAACCAAGATCGTCTTCCCTTTAAGACAAACCTCGTCACGGAAGTCCTGCTCACTTGGGAAGGCTCCTCACTTAAGCCAACTGCTTCTTAAGCTCCTCCACCACCTGCCCTGGCTCAGGAAACTTAAGTTTTCGTGGGGGACCCTTCTTAATCCCACTCCAGAGCTCTGCCCCTAGGACAAGAACGGAGAAAGGCCGGCCGTGGGTGCCGGGACGTGCTTCTCGATCAGCCCTAGGGCTCCGGCCGGTCTCATCCGCGGTGCCGCCGCACGGCCAGGAGTGCCGGGGCCCGGAATCGCTTGCACCAGAGGCACTTGCATACCGTTATTTAACCTTTGCGTGGGCCTCTTTCCGTCACCCATAAAGGCAGCTCCGTGGCCGAGTGGAGAAACCAGACCGTCGGCCTTGGGGGTCGGGAAGGCCTCGGACCCTCCCCTGGCACCCGGGAGTCTTGCCTATTACAACCACCGCAGCCCCCCGTTGTCGCGGCCCACGCTCGGCACCTCTCCGGGCTTCCCCGGGCGTAGTCTGACCGACGAGCCGCGAAGCTCGCTCGGGAGAAGCGCTTACCCGAGCCCCCGGAGTGGGAGCCCGGGCCTCCCCCCGGGGCGGGGCCCGAACTCACGGCTGCCGTCGGGGCGCTGCAGCGTCACCTCGAAGCTGCTCCGGCGGGGCTTGGTGGGGTTCAGCAGCACGGGCAGCTCCGGGCGGGCGAGGCGCAGCGCCTGGCTCACCGCCTCCGCGTGGCGCGCGTACACGCGTCAGCTTCGGCTGCGGAGAGACCCGGGGGGCCGTGAGCGCCCGCGGCGGCTCCGGGGCCCCGAGCCCCCTCCCCCACCCGGGAGGCGCGCTTCTTTCCCTCTCCCCTTCCCCCAGGTTCCCCTCCCCGCGCCGCACCAGTGCTCAATGACCACGCGGGCCTCTCCCACGCCCCCATCGCCGCCCTGTGCCAGCTTCTCCGGCTTCTCGGTTTCCCCATCTGCCGCCGCGTCTGCCTTGCGCTTCCTCCCGCGAGGAGCCATGGCACGTGTCGCCCGTGGAGCCGGAATCCCCGCGCCACCGAGCTCCGCGCGCAGTCTCCACCCCCGTCCCCCCCCACGTGGAGGGCGGGACCTCCGGGCGCAACCACCGGGCGCCAGAGTGCGGGGGGGACAGGTTAGCGATACCAGTGCGGCCGCTGCCCACAGTTCTGCGCTCTGGAGCAAGAGACCGCTCTGACGAAAGCCCTGGGGGAGAGGGCGGACGGGGCATATCGGCCCCGAAGCCTAGCAGACCAGCCGTGAGGGTCGCTGTTTCTTTCCCCCGCCCTTTCCAAGTGGTAGGAGCCTCAGCCTCGCCCCCTCCAGGTCACGTGAACACTCCTTCCGTCGGCTCCCAGGTCCCTCCCATCAGGCCCAGCCCCATCTGCGGACGCGCAAGCGCGGGCTCCGGCTCCGGAATGGAAAGCGGGGCTTCCCCGTCCCGAGCCAGGGTACTTTAGACGGGAGGCCGGGTGTATTACTCTGTAAGTTTCAGGAAGGGGAGTCTATAGGAGTGTCAAGGGCTGGTCCATAAACCCCCGTTATTGGGAGAAGGGCCATGTGGCAGCTGTTCAGTTCTGTGACCCTGTTTGGGCTTTTCTTGGCAGAGATACTGGAGTGTTTTTCCATTTCCTTCTCCAGCTCATTTTACAGATGAGGATACTGAGGCAAACGGAGTAAAGTGATTTGGCCAGGGTCACATAGCTGGTGTCTTAAGGCGGCATTTGAAATCGGGAATATTAGCCTTCCTGACTGCAAGCCAGAGCTCTATCCATTTCCCCACTCTGATGCCCTATTTAGCAGCAGTGTGGGAGAAATTAGGGTTGGCCCAAAATCTAATGCCAAATAAGTTACAAATGGATACACACAAGGTCACACCATAAACAAATTAGAAGAGCAAGTACGAAATAACCAGTTGGACCGTGAAGGATAGCAAGAGTTCAGGACTGAACAAATGACAGAATCAGACAAGATAAAACTAACAATTTTGATTATATGTAATTGATTTCGATTATACAAAATTAAGAAGCAAACGAAATCTAATGAAGGAAAAATTAGATGAAAAACAGGCAACTGGGGAAAAAAATCTTTCCAACAAGTTTCTCTGATAAAGGTTGCATTTCCATGATATACAATCCAAGTTTATAATAAAAACCATTCCCCAACTGAAAAATGATCAAAGTATATAGTTTTCAAAGGAAGAGCTATCAACAACCAAATAACATATTCTAAATCTGTAAATAATCAGAAATGCAAAGTAAAGAAGTAACTCTGCCGTTCTGCCTCACACCTATCAAACAGGTAAAGATGATAAGGAAGGAGGAGCTCTGGAAAAAATAGATATACTTAGAGTGCAGTGTGGGTGGAGCTGTGAATTGGTTCAGCCATTTTGTAATGCAATTTGGAATTATACCCACTAAGTTACTAAGATATGCACCCTTTGATGCAGCTATGCCATTACTAGAACTACAGGCCAAAGAAATCAAAACGGAAAAAGATATATGTGCAAAAAACCATTTCTAGCAGCTTTGTGTATGGTAGTCCCAAATTTGAAACTCAGTGGGAATGGCTGACCAAATTGTGGCAAAGGGATGTAATAGAATATTATTGTGCTGTAAGAAATGATGAAACAGGGCAGTTTCAGAGGAAATGAAGACCTCTACAAACTGATGCAAATTGAGCAAAATTATAACCATCTATATAATAATATTATAGAGAAAAAGTTTTGAAAGACTAAGAACTTTGATCAACCCAATGATAAACCATACAGGCAAAAAAAAAAAATGAAGACTGTAATATCCCACTCACCTCCTCCTCACAGAGAGAAGGCTCACATTTCCAGACACAGCCAAAATAGGAATCTGATTGGCTGGACTGTGCCAATGTGTACTGAAGTCTTTCTTTTTTTTAGGCTTGTTCTTTTTATTTGTTCAATATTTGGAGTGTGGGACACAGACTGATTGGGGGGGGTGAGAATGAAGTTGATAAAAAAAAACAAAAACTAAAGATAATCAATAAAAAGTGTCAAAGGAACACCCCTGCTGCCCTGGGCCTTTCTCTTTCAGTCCCAACACATGCTCTTGGTTTTCCTTGGCTCAAAGGAAAGGAGTATTAAAATTAATTAACTATCTCTCTTAAAGCAACTTATATCTTTCGACACTCCCCTAGGGCAGTCCAGGTGTAAATGGATTTTATAATTAGTACCCAAATCAAAGTTAAGCTTCAACCCTTTACCAAATGTTAAATAGCAATAAGGAAGGCCAGAAAGACCTCAGAGAAGTAAGTCAACAATCCCGAAGATCTGTTAGTGGTACATCTGACCTGAAACTTGTTTGCTCTGAAGGGTTCGCTATTTGCCTTCTGGAAGAAGCATTGAAACCACAGGATGGCAAAGCCCTGACTTCTGAATTAACCCATTCTCTGTTCTTCCAGGCCCAGTCAGTATTAAAAATGTTCACATTCAGATGGAAACTGCCTTCTTCCAAGATAAGGAATTGATTTTCTTTCCCCTTTGGTGAAATGGTTGACCAAACTGGGGGAGGTGCTTAGCCACAAAGGACATTCTTTTGTATGCCTCTGTTAATTCCTCCCCTAACAGCCTTGGGCCTGGTTCCATGTCTATTCCAAATAAGGAATAAATATAAATACTAAAAGGCATCAGTCTGTTTAGTCCCTCAGTCATAGTAAGGGCAGGGCCTGAAAAGGCAACCAGGAAAAAGCTGGAGGACAAAGGACCTCTGGAAGGACAGAGCTCCTATTTGTCCTTCTTGCTCTCTTCATCTGGCTGCGTATGAGGGGAGGCAGACTCAGATGGCTCCTCAGGGATTTCATCTCGGGTCTTGGTCTGCTTCTTGGCCCGCTGGTACAGCTCATTCAGGCTGAACTCCCGGATCACGTTCTCCTATGGAAAGGAGACAGACACACACACATAGAGACACACTGATTCAGAGATTCAGCTTAGGTGAGAAACGATTATTAAATAACCAATTAGGGAGATCTAGGGCTTTTCCCTTCCTATCTCCTCATTATCCGCTGGGTCACGTCAGCATGTGAAGGACACTGCAGATAAAGAGATCAGATTAACTTTCTCTTTAATCTTGTTCCAACCCCCAAGTGGGGAAGCCCAAAGAGTTCTACTCAGGCTTGGGTGAGAGATTAAAGTCACGTCCCCCAGTCTCTCAGTAGAACAGGTCTACCTCTCATTATAATATTCATTCTTACTGTTAACTAATCAGAGTTGATTGCCACCCTCAAGAACATCCACTCTTTTCCAAGGGCATATAAGCCCTTGAGTGGGTTCCATGAGGGGTTCTTTGGCATTTGAGAGTACTACTGACCCCTTTTATTATCTGCCAGCATAATTAATAAAATGATTAATTACCCAGAAACTATGTCACTCAAACTTATGTCCCATAGGTGAAGTCCAGAACCTCTGCTGGATAGCTGTGCCTCCCTTATATTTGGACACTACTTAAGGAGAAAGAATCTAGATGCCTCAAAGGCTGTTCTAGATGAAAGCTGTGAGAAACGAGGGAGAGGCCTTAACTTCTCCACCCTCCCTGAGTGTTAGTGCAGTTTAGCATTAAAAAGAGCTGTTCTTTCCTCCAGCATTCCCATCCCTAGGCTTCTCTAAGTACCTCTGAGAAAGTCCAAGAGACAGCTCGACCTTTCTTGTCAATCTGGGGTCTCCTCATCACTTCTTTCCCACCCTGGAACAGGATGAGGGTGGGAAGCTGTTTGGTGAGAGGTGACGTGCTCACTTTGTACCTGAAAGGGAAATGAAGGGTTATGTGAGCTCATCTCCAAGCTTCTTCCTCTTCATTCCTTTGCCCAGGGCACCACATACCGTGTACTGACATCAGGGTATCGCCCGACGTCCACCTTCCCAAAATTCAGCCCCGTGCAATTGTACCTGGCAGGGAGACATGAACATTAATATACTGACCAAGCCTTAAAGCAATAGACTCCAGGGAGGGAGAGTGGTGACAAATGGAAGGAAAGGCCCTGACTTTTCATGTTCACCACATTTTAGTATTCAAGGGCTTTGGATGGAGCAGTATGTGCAGCGGTCAAGACTGAAACGCAGTGAGGGGGCTGCTATTCCCAATGTCCCTCTGGGCGTGTTACTCACCTGAGGGAGAGGTCAGCATAGATAGGAGCAAATGACTGGCACTCATTAGACCAATTGGCAAAGAACTCCACGATCCATGTGATACGCTTGTCCCGTTCCAGCTCTTCCTGCCATATGCAAGGTAAGTCATATCTGTCAGCTGGATGATGGAGGCCCCTGAGGAACCTCAGACCCTAGAATCTAAATCCTCACCCTCTCTGCCATACAAACACATAAACCACATCACACATCCCTGATCCAGTGGCACAAATTCCCAAACACAGATGTTCCTCCTAGCAAAAAGAGAACTGAAGACTTGCCCTCTTCCCTCTCAATAGCATCCCCACCCAACACACACACCTTCCCCAGGATCTCAGGGTATAGAAGGAAGGACAACTCACATCAATTGTCTTGTCATTAAAGTACTTGATGTATTCAGGACCCATGTAGAGGGGGGGTTTACATGTCATCAGGAACACTAAACACAGAAAGAGAGCATAAAAAACTAGAACTTCTCTGGAGATCTGCAGTTCCTGCCCAACTGTAGGTACACGTGCTCCCAAAAACACCTATGTATTTTCCTTTACAGATGAGCTTGAGGCAACTGAAGGGGTGTGAAGACTTAGGGAAAAGAATGAGCAATCTGCTTTTTGATTAGGACCAGGTTCCCCATCAAGTAAATGCCCAACCTCAAGCAAATCAGCCCATTTCCCCAGGACCCTCACCTATGCAGAGCGTGACGTAGAGCAGGCCCATGCGAATGTCCAGACGGAAAAAGAGGATCGCGTTGGCAACTTTACTGAACATGAAGATGTTACCTATATGCTGCTCCACAGTGACTGAAATGCAGATGTCATAGGTCAGGCTGGAGCTGAATGATCCTATACCACCTTCCCTGTCCCTATCTCCAGAGCAGCTTTTTGGAGAGCTTCTTCCACAGGGCCTCAGGCCCAACTAGCCTGGCTCCGCCTCCACCAAACAATGCTCTTCCAATGGAGAAAAGTAATTAGCATGGAAAAAAAAACAGCTAAAACTGATATAATCACAGTCGGAGGAGCTCTTTACCCACAATGAAATCATTGGATCTTCCCAACTGTCTCACTTCAGCTATTAATACCCCCACTGCAAGATGGGGAAACGGGTTCCAAGAGGTAAATGACCACATCTCCCCACCCCAGACTTTGCAGAGAGGCTGAGGAGCAGTGGGGCATACTCACTTGATCTCCGGTTCTTCATCATTACGATGGCACTGAGGAACATTAAGATCTCCACCTCCCTCTGTAAGAGAATCACAGTGACTGCACGTGAAAAACCACGGCAGAGAGACACACAGCAGCAAGCCATGAGACACAAACTGAAGACGACAGCAGCAACAGGTACTTAGGCACTGATTCAGCATGGGCCCCATGCACAACTGGGAAATGGTTGCAAAGTTGCAGAAAAATTGATACAATGAAGTATTTATTGTGACATTCTAATAAATTAATACAATATCTTTCTCTGAAGTTTTCAAAGAAAAGTTGGACCTTTTCTTCTGACATCAATATAGAGTTTGCCATTGTTTTATGATCTAATCCCTTTGGGTTGCTTCCTAAGGGCATGGGGTGGCGAGGGATCATTATGTTTACAGATTAATATGTCTCAAAACATTGGAGAATTGTGAAACTATCCATGCCTACGAACCATGAGTCAATGGCATCGCCTCAACAAACAAACGTGGGGCGAACATCAGTGATCACTAAACTGCTAACATTCCATTCAGTATGAATTCTGAAAAAAAGATACTTTCATACTAAAACACAATCATATTTCATTACAGGTAATTGAATAATTCTAGCCTCAGGAATAAGAATTTACCCAGGGCAACTTTACCATCTTGTCTCTTTTAGGAATACCATTGTCAACAGCAGAGCAGTCATTCAACCTGCTTCAAACACAGTATAATACAGAGGTATGCAAATGAGCCCAACTAACATGAATAACATAAAGAAGGCAGGTACTTCAGCACACATCTGGAATCTGGATTTTCTGCCCCAATTCTCCGCCATCAATGAATGGCAGAGGGGAAGAACACTGGTGAGTCTTGTGCCTGAAGCAGAAACTAGAGAAGGTTTTCCTCTGATCAGCCATTTATTATGTGCCTACCTTATGTCAGGCACCATGCTAAGCACTGGGAATACAAAGAAAGGGAAAAGACAGTCTCTGCCCTGGAGGGGCTCAAAGTCTAATGGGGGACTGGAAGTGTTCAAAGTTGGAAATCAAACCTGAGGTTAGACAGAGCAAGAGAGGGCAGGAAGGAAAAGAGACAAGAAAGAAGACAGACGGTTTAAAATTGTTCACAGATTCAGAATTTTACTGTAGGTCGGAAAGACCTCACCCATTAGACATATATTGGGCTCCCTTCATTTTATAGATAGGGAAGACATTTCACATCTGCACGTTGGTCTACTGAAGGCCACAGGTTCAAAGGTGGAAATATCACGAAGAACAGCAGAAACAAACATGTATTAAGTGGCTGTAAGCAAAGCATTGTGGTGGGCCCTGGAGGGGTGGAGGAGCTCACAAAGTTTAGCAAACTGCCTCAAAGTACTTTGTGGGGCATGGGAAGTAAAGTCTGGTGAAGGAAAAGAAACTTTCCCTAACTCTATGTGGGGAAATTGAGTCCGGGGTAGTAAAATGACTTGCCAGAGGTCATACCAACCTTATGTGCCAAGTACAAAACAGAATATTCGCTGAATTGTGGGTGGATGGGGGTGGAGAGGGTAAGAGACAGGGAGGGAGTCTTCTGGGAAGGCTTCCTGGAGGAGGTAGCATCAAAAGTTGGAATTTAAACAAGTAAGAATTCAAAGAGCAGAGGTGGGAAGGAGAACACTCCAGTAATGAGAATAGAGCACTCTGTGCTGCAGGGAGGACAGGGAGTGAGAGGTAAAGCTCTACAGTTTGGCTGAAGCAGAGTGTACCTGGACGGAGAGTAACAGCAGATAAAATTGGAAGAGCGGAGAAACAGCAGGGTAAATAACATGGACTGGAACTCGAAAAAGCAACAGGCTGATAAAGGTCTCACTTCTGAGTTACGGAGAGAACAGATTCAAATCTATCTGAGTAAGAGTCATTCCTCAAACAACAAATGGTCAAAGGATCTGAATGGGCCTCTTGAGATGAAGGAATCTATGCTATTACTCAGCTATCGATAGCTGTACGAAAAGAAATGCTTCAAACCACTAATAATTAGAGAAATGCAAATTAAAACAACTCAGAGGTTCTACCTCACGGCCATCAGACTGGCAAAACTGACCAAAAATGGAAAATAACAAATACTGTAGGCCCATAGGGAAAAAAGGCAAAATATACTTTTAGTAAACTCTTTTTTTTTTTTAAAGGCAATTGGGGGTTAAGTGACTTGCCCAGCATCACACAGCTAGTAAGTGTCAAGTGTTTGGTCTGAGGCTGGATTTGAACTCGGGGTCCTCCTGACGTCAGGGCGAGTGCTCTATCCACTGCGCCACCTAGCTGCCCCTCGATATACACTTCTGAGGGAGCTATAAACTGGTGCTGCCATTCTGGAAAGCCATTTGGAACTATGTCCATAGAGCTATTGAACTGTTCATAGCAATACCTAGCAATGGTTTATGTAGCAATATACCACTACTATGTCTCACTGGAAGATAAGAGGAAAAGGATCCACATATACACAAATATCTCTGGCAACTCCCTTTGCCATAGCAAAGAACAGGCCCATCAACTGGGGAATGGCTGAACAAATGTTGCTACAGGAATGTGACAGAATGCTAGTGGGCAATAAGAATGAGGATGCTGACAGTTTCAGAGAAGCCTATGAAGACTTGTATGAATTGATGAAGAGAGAAGTGAGCAGAACCAGAACAATTATACAATAAGAGCAACATTGGCAAGATAAACAGTTGCAAAAGACTTAGGAATTCTGATCAATGCAGTGACCAACCACAATTCCAGAGAACTCCTTGTTTCTTTCTTTCTTTTTTGTTTTGTTCTCTTTTTTTGCTTTTTGGTGAGGCAATCAGGGTTAAATGACTTGCCCAGGGTCACACAGCTATTACGTGTCAAGTGTCTGAGAAGAGATTTGAACTCAGGTCCTCCTGACTCCAGGGCCAGAGCTCTATCCACTCTGCCACCTAGCTGCCCCTCAGACAACTCCTGATAAAACATGCTACCACATCCTGACACAGGGGACAGGCTCAGAGCAAAGAATGAGACAATTTATTTGATCATAGGTCAATGTGGGAATTTGTTTTACTTGACCATACATGTTTGTAACGGGGCTGTTTTGTCTTTTTTTTTTTTTCTCATGGAAATGGGATGTAGGGCAGGGAACTAGAGTTGAGAAAAGGTAGCTGTTTGTTGACTGAAAAACAAAATTTAATTACAAAAAGGCAAAAGGAAAGATTTTTCACCTAACAACATAACTCAATCTTTGGGCAAATATATTATACAGTGGTATGGAGGAAGAAGAATAGATGCAGAAAACTTTCCAGGAAGTTATGGCAATATTTCAAGAGGATGATAAAGAGGCTAGAACTAGGGTGCGCTACAGAAGCAAAGACAAGAGGTGGAATGAGGAGGAATGTCACGTATTCCCTTTGTGAGACTGTGAATTCCCAGGCCAGGAAGAATCATCTTGTTTACCTTTATAGTCTCACGTGAAGGTTGGGAGCTTTGTAATTACTACAGAAATGAGAGGTAGGTAGGTGCTCTAATTTATTATTATTAGATCAAGGATACTCCTACAAGACGGCCTTATTAATCTCTATCTCCTTTAGGATGGGACATAGTGCTATGTATACAACAGACACTTAATACAACGTGATATACTAGAAAGAACCCTGGACTTAGAAGTCCAAAAGTCCAGGCATGTATTCCATCTCCACTACTTACTAACTTTCTGACACTTGTCAAGTTGCTTCCCCAATATGCCTCCATTTCCCAAGCTGTAAATGATAGCTTGGACTAGATCCATCTCTAGGGTCCCTTCCAATTCTTAAGGCTCTGTAAACTGTTGTGAGAAGTGATGTGTCTCAAGCTGGGCCAGGATTTGGGTTGGCTGAAAAATGAAAGGAGGATGGGGAAAAACAATATGAATATTGCTGAAAAGGGAGGGATGAGTGTTCAAGTATGTGATAAGCTGTAACTAAGCTTGGATAGAAAGACAGCATAGTTTAGTGAAAAGACCAATGGATTTGGAGTCAAAAGACTAAATGATCTGTGAAAAGATAAAACAACTCCGAGGTAATAATTAAATTAACAATGATTAAACGACCATTAAATCAAGCTACTCACTTCCTGAAAGGTGATGGACTAAATGTGCTGGAAGAGATATTTTTTAGACATAGCTAATAAGGAAATTAATTTTGCTATTAAGATTTTTTTAAATGAGAAGTTGTAGAAGGGAAAGAAAATAGACTTTTGTTCATTAAAAACTTAAAAAGATTATACGACAGTAAACAAAAGAAGGAATGAGTCTTCTGTTTAAATCCTGGCTCAGCTACTCAGTGCTCTGTGACAGACAACGTGGAGTTTCTTAACTTTCTGGCTCTAAATCTAGGATCCAAGGATGGTTCTCAAACAGGGCTACCCATATCTTGTCCCCTATGCCTACAAGGTGTTTACAACCATCACCTCTGAAAATCTCTCCTTTCCTTCCTCAGCTCAAGTGCCACGTTATGCACCCCATCTTCCATTACTTCCTATATGCTTTAAATATATGTGTATTTATTTACTGCTCTTTTTTTTGTTTGTTTGTTTGTTTTTTAGGCAATTGGGGTTAAGTGACTTGCCCAGAGTCACACAGCTAGTAAGTGTCAAATGTTTGGTCTGATGCTGGATTTGAACTCAGGTCCTCCTGACTTCAGGGCCGGTACTCTATCCACTGCACCACCTAGCTGCCCCTGTATTTATTTACTTAACAATTTTGTCTCTTCCAACAGAAGGTAAGCTCCTTGAAAGCATGGACTATCGACCTGGAGGAAACTGACTGATCCTATGACTCGGGTTCATGCCTCTAGTACGAAAAGCTGAGCTATGTGATTTCCCCTCTTTAGGCCTCAGTTTTCCCACAGCAACAGCAATTTCTTTTCTATGCTGGCTTTAAAGATCAGAAAGTGCCCTCCTTACAGCAGAGGCCACATAACCTTAGATCCGGAGCTGGGGTCACCTAGACTAATTCTCAGTTTGCAGGTGAGGAAACCTAGTCCTAGCGGGATGAAATGAACCGCCCAAGGTCATGCCGGCAGGAACCGGTGGAGCTCGGATCCGTTTGGCAACTCTCCCTCACCTTCCAAATCCGTACGGCCCGGCTCCAAGCACCTGCCACCCTGCCTCAGTTACGCCCCGGAGCTCCGGCGGGTCAAGGACACTCCCACCCTGCCCTTCGGTGACCCTGGAGCCACTTCTTCCGCTCACCCAGTCAAAGTCGCAGGGGTTGCCGTCCTCGCGCTGGGTGGGGAGACCGAGGCAGACCGGCGGCAGCTTCCTCACAAGCAGGAAGGCGACTGATAGGAGCGCCGACAACAGGTAGTACGGCTTGGCCAGCCATCGCGACAGCCTCGGCACCGAATACAGCAGCGCCAGCAGCGGAGCCAGCACAGCCATCTTCCCTCCCCTGAAGCAGCGGCCGCCACCACCGGCGCCGCCGCCCTGTCAACTGCTCAGCCAAAGTACCTGCCGGACGCCGGACCTGTCCCACGACCGCCTGCCATCCGGGCCTCCCGATTGGGCCGCGCCTCTGTCGCTCCGGAACCTGAGCCAGGAGCTGAATTATGATTGGATTCGGCTGAAAGAACGGCCTTTCTGAAAGGCTGCCCTCTCTCGGCTTCCCTCTCCTGATTGGATGCTGTGAACAGGGCAGGCGGGGAGATGGGCGTTCCCTAGCTTCACTTCCTCCTATGACATCTTAGAGCGACGGAAGTTCTTCGGCCGGTGGAGACAGACGTATCCAATAAATAGAAGATCCAGAAAGAGGAGGGCGGTGCTGCGCGAGAGGGTTGTCCAATGAGAGGTCGCGGTGGTGCCAGACTCCGAGTGGGCGGAGGCAGCCGCGGCAGCGGTAGAAGCAGCGGCGGTGGCAGCAGAGCGGTCGACGCGATGGAGAACTTCACAGCGCTTTTCGGTGCCCAAACTGAGCCGCCGCCGCCGCCGCCAGCCACGCTGGGCTTTGGGCCGGGGAAGCCGCCCCCTCCGCCGCCTCCTCCTCCGGGTGGGGGCCCCGGAACGGTCCCGCCGCCCGCTGCGGCCCCAGCCCCTCCTGGCGCTGACAAGGCCGCAGCTGGGTGCGGACCCTTCTACCTGATGCGGGAGCTCCCAGGTGAGCACGGGTGCTCTTGGAAGCCAGCCAATCAGCTCCTAGGGAGGGCGTGAAGGTTGGGGCTGTAGGCCAATGAGCGGAAGCGACAAGTAATAGGGCAAAAGAGGGCGGAGACATTGTAGGTATCTCTGTAAGTCTGAGAGCCAAGGGGGCGGGACCGAATGAGCGAGCCAGCCAATGAACGGGTTTGAAGCGCGTCTGGCTGATGGAGGCTGGAGGATCTGGGTTCTAGACTTACTTCTGACATTTTTGTTTGCTGTCCTACCCCGGCATAGTGCTTGTTGACTCTTTAAAGTGCCGTATAAATTATGTGTTGGTGGCTCAGTGGCTGGAGCGTTGGCCCTGGAATCAGGAAGGCCGGAGTTCAAATCTTGCACATCACTCCACCTTTGCCTCAGTTTCCTCATTTGTAAAATGGATTAAATGGCACCTACCTTCCAGGGTTGTTGTGAGGATAAAATGAGATAATCTTTGTAAGGTGCTCTATGAAGCAGCCTGTGGCATTCAGTATGGAGCCCAGGTTGGCTCCTCCTCGAAAGTGGACCCAAACAGAGCAAGTTGTGAAGAGATTCGATGCAAAGCAGGATCTAGCATCTCATTGTCCACTGCTGACTGGCTCCATTCCCAAACTTGGGCAGGTGATCTAATTTATGCGGATCCGCCTACTAACTTTTGGTGCAGACTTGTTTCCTTTGCCTAGCCAACAGCAAGCTAAACTGTAGCGGGGTACCTTGATCCAGCATATGGATGGATCGTTAGCAATGCAATTCCAGCAGCGGTTAGAGAGGTTGTGGTGTTTATCAAGAATGCTGTAAGGAACGATTTGGCTCTACGTTCCCATAGATAGAGGCATTCATCACAGTGCGGCAGCTAAACTAAGCCTGTAGACCCACCCTAACTTGGCAAGGGTAGAAAATTACTGGTTAAAGAAGAGTACTCCCACATATGTTGGGAGCATCTGGAACCATTGCAAGATCTGTACGGGGCTGGGGGAGGAGGTGATGTTGCTAACCAGATGGTTAACTGTCTGCTGAGCTCAACCTTGAAATTATTCATAACCTTGAAGAAAAAGAGGAGGGGATTGCCCAGGGCAGGCTGGAGGAGAGAGGAAAACTGGAAGCAGAATGGCCAGTTTTAAAAAACCCTTATCATAAATCTAGGAATGAGATAAGAGTCTACTAGAGTGTTAGAAGGAGGAATGTAAAGGAAGGTTAAATATGTGAGTTAGAAGCAAAGTTATCAACAGAACTTTATGAGTTTGAATATAGGAGCAAGAGAAAACGAAGTCAAAGATGGTTAAGGTTTCGAACCTGGTTGACATAGAAGAGTTACAATACTTGGTGCAGTAGAAAGTGTTGAATTTACTTCCAAAATCAAAATTTAAAAAAATCATTTTAAATCCTGGCTTTGCCACTGATTCCCTGTGGGACCACGGATGAGCAACTTAACCTGTTGGGGTTATTGACCTCTCCGTTCTCTGAGGGAGTTGGACTGGATGATCTCTAATGTCCCCGCTAGCTGTAGCTCTGAAACTATGGTTCTGTGACTGTTGGCAGAGATTGGTAAGTAAGGAGAGGGTAGTATAGAATAAATATTTCAGGGGCAGGTGATGAGCTTTAGAAGTGTTGAGTTTGCCAAGATATAGAAGCAATTAACAGATAAATGTAACACCAAAAGCCATTCCCCAACAGATAAGTGGTCAAAGAATATGAACAAACAGTTCTCAAAGAATTGTAAACTGTTAATAACCATATGAAACAGTGCTCCGAATCACTGAATGATAAGAGCAATGCATATCAGAACAACCCAGAGGAAGCACACACCCTACAAATTGGCAAAGATGACAAAAGGTGGGAAGTCAGTGTAGAGCAGCTGTGGGAAGATAGCACTAGTGTATTGTAGGTGGAGCTGCACAGTGGTACAGCCGAGCAGTATGAAATCATGCAAATAAAATGACGATTTGACCCAGGGATTCTGTTACTAGACTTAAGGCTATTGATAAGAAGAAAGCCCCATGTATACCAAAATATTTATAATAATGATTTTTGTGATAGCAAAGAATTGGAAACAAAGTACATGCCCATTGATTGGGGAAATGCCTGAACAAATTGTGGCGCGTGAATGAACCCCGATTGATTGCTAGAGTATTACTGTGTTATAAGAAATTATGAATAAAATAAAAACAGAAGCATGGAAAGATCTACATGAACTAGTGCAGAATGAAGTAAGCAAAACCAAGGAAACAATACGTACACACAATGACTACAATGATGTAAACAGAAAGAACTGTCACCAAAACAATCAAGAGTGAATGGTGCCGGGACAGCTAGGTGGCGCAGTAGATAGCGCACTGGCCCTGGAGTCAGGAGGACCTGAGTTCAAATTTGGCCTCAGACACATAACATTTACTAGCAGTTTGACCTTGGGCAAGTCATTTAACCCCACTGGCTAGACCAAAAAAAGAAAAAAAAAAGAGTGAATGGTGCGAAATTATAAAGCGCAGGCATGGCATGAAAAAAGAGATAAAAGTAAATGTGCTCCCACCCCATCCCTTGTAGAGGTCCACAAATGTGCATTGTACAATACTGTATTTTCAGACCTTTCGATTTATTGATCAGTTGTACTGATTTTTTTCCTCTTATTCTTAAATTCTTTTACTTTTCCTTTAAAAAAAAGTGCTATTTGTTATCTGGGAGGAGGAATACTGGAGAAAAGTATGGTGACATTAAAAAGGGAAGGGGAAGGAAATGGAATAAACATTGATATGGTGCCTACTGTGTGCCAGGTACTGTTCTAAGTACCATTTTTAAGTACATTTTATCTCATTTAATCTTCACAATAACCCTGAGGTAGATGCTATTATTATCCTCATATTGCAGTTGAGAAAACTAAAACAAACAGGTTGAGTGACTTGCCCAGGGTCACACAACTAGTAAGTATCGGAAGCTGGCTTTGAACTATCGACTCCAGGCCCAGCACTCTATCCATTGCACCACCAGCTGTGATCAATGTGATCAAAGTAATTTAAAAATTAGAGAGAAAAAAAAGAAATGTGGAGCTTGAGTCGACTGGAGGAACTGAGTAGAATTGTCTCACAGCAAGTTAGAGGTGCAGAATTGGAGTTTGAGAAAGAAGTGACAGTCGGAGATAGAGGTGTGCCCCTCATCCTCACAGGTGATACTGGAAGCGAGAGTATGATGGATGAGCTCTCCAAGGTAAAAGGAGAGAGTAGAGGGCTAAGAACTGAACCCTGGGGCGTGAACCCCAAGAATCACATTTAGTAGGTGAATAGAGGACCATAGATAAGATTGACTAGAGAAACAGGAAGGGGACTGGGATTATGTAGTGTTCCAGAGGCCAAAAGAGAAGGCTCTTGAAGGTCAGCAACATCGAAGGCTTCAGAAAAGTTCAGGCGGAAGAAAGGTGGATTTCATACTGTCTCAGAGAGGGCCCTCGGAGGCCGTGTTGGCTAACTCAGACCTGAACAGTGATCCTTTTTCAAGGATCCCTTTGCTGCTGTTGAATTGTTTTGCAGTCATATCCTACTCTTTGTGATTTGCCATTTCCTTCTCTAGCTCATTTTACAGATGAGCAACCGAGGCACACAAGGTTAAGTGACTTGCCCAGGGTCACACAGCTAGTGTGTAAACCTGAGGCCTGAACTTGAACCCAGGAAGAGTTCAGATTCCTTCCTAATTTTGCCACCTAGCTGCCCCCAGGTATCCCTAAGAAGAAGTTATTCAACATGCAGTGAGGTGCAGAGTGGTGTTCCACTATTAGGTGATTAAGAGGTCACTGGTGAGCTTTGAAAAACCCAAGTCAATATAGTCAATTGACTGCATAGGGTCACCCTGTAAATTTTAGGAACTGGAGACCATAGGTGTGGACCATGCCACTGTTTGGCCTTAAAAAGAAGGAGAAAAATCCCTCTAGGGATTCAGAGTATGTGAGGCCTGTAAGGCACTTTGAAAATCTCTAATTCGAGGCCTTCATGGCGGACCCTTTCATGGTGTCATTTTATCATTTAACAAGTTCCCCCCAGGGGCAGCTAAGTGGCGCAGTAGATAGAGCACCGGCCCTGAAGTCAGGAGGACCTGAGTTCAAATCGGGCCTCAGTCCAAACACTTGACATTTACTAGCTGTGTGACCCTGGGCAAGTCACTTAACCCCAATTGCCTAAAAAAAATAAAATTAAATTAAAATAAAATAAAATAACAAGTTCCCCCCTTTGGAGGCAGAGCTCAGTCAGAGACAGCACAGTAGAGAGAGCACTTTGGACACCCTGACATGAATGTCCTCTTAAACTCAACATGGCCACAGTGGAGCTCATGATCTTTTCCCCCAAATCC